ATCGAAATAAAGTGTTACCAGGTGTTTTCACATTAGTGAAATTTCACGGATAAGAAGGGCCATTGTCTGCTGTTAACAGCGTAGTGATGCATGAAGTACAGCTCACACAGAAGTTACTTTCAAATCAAGCAGCTTACTTTTGGTCAACATGGCGAATGTGACCAACTTGAACCCATTGCGAAATCTTCACACAAAATTCCCAAACACATGGATTCCTATTGAAATTTCGCTGAACAACAATAAATGTGACCACACTTTAAGACTGCTGAGAACCAGCGTCATCATCTGCAGTACACTGCACAGCTTGAGCAATTAAAACACTTCCATACTTATTTACCTGACAGGGCAGAGAAGAAGGCAGCATCCTCTTCCTCATCATGTGAAGAAGAGCCGCCAACGTCCCCGGTGTGGTCCCACTCCAGAGGGATGGAATCCACACTGACGGGGGTTTCACGGCCCGAGTGCTCCTGAGGTGGCAATAGCAGGCACATGGAGGGCTGGCTGGAGGAGGGGGTGGCCAGTGTCCCTCTGGACTGCTCACCATCAATGACGTCCAGCTGCTCCAAAGACAAAACACTTTAATTCATATCCATATAACATGGCCCATATGCAAAGTTATTTGGACAATTTTGCCACATTTGTCACTGTAAGTGTAATGAAATATACACTACCCTTACCAATTTAAAAAATACCTGTGATGAGTGATGGAGTGATGACATTTTCAGCCGCCATTACTTACTTACTGACCCCAAACATTTGAATGGTAATGTAGCACAAACACACTTTTACACTTTTCTAATTCACAAAAAGACATTAGATAGGTTCCAAACGCTCTCAAATTGTCCAAATACATTAAGGGCCACAGTATGGTATACGAGAGAATGCTTCCAAACGCTGTCCAAATACATTAAGGGCCACAGTATGGTATACGAGAGAATGCAATGAAAAGTGAGCGTATATAATACTATAATACCACTGGTGAGGCGCTGGTGGAATCGGGCCACCCTGCCGAACACCTCTTGACAGTATGTGTGCAGTTCCTCTAACTCATCTTCTATCACAACAGCATCTTGAGGACAGCTCCTCTGAATCAGACCCTCCCCAAAAACGATCAGAGCATCAATCTTATTGGTGTTCAGAGTGATCTCTTTCTTAAAACTCTGGAGGGGAAGAATAAGAAAGTTCAGTTAAATTTAACGCTATCTGTCTATAGACTGACTGAACGACTGAATTTGAAGGAAACGCTTGTTTATTAACCTTCAGCTGTTTCATCTTGTCTTGGAGATGGCTCTCTGAGAAGTTCTCTACATTGGTCAGCTGGAGGTCTATCTCATTCAGCCAGACGAGGAGGCTCTCGCGGGTTCCCTCAAACTCTTCTCTCTGACTTGTGAAATGCTAAATGAGAAAAAAAAGGGAGGAAAAAGAAAATGTGTTGGGAAATGTGTACTCAAGTAAACATAAATGCATAGATGACAAAAAAAAGTAGTGTGTCGGTGTCCTCACCCGGAGTCTGCGTAGTATTGCAGCCACTCTCCTCTGGAGCGCATCCCAGCGCTGGTTCCCCTGATGCACCATGGCCCTGAGTCTGCTGGCTGCATCGGTCCGATTCTCCCGCGCTAGTCGTCTGTACTGGTTATTAATAATTTCCAGCTGGGTCAGACTCTCATGCACTTGCCTTTGGAAAACCTAAAACAACAAATCAAACACTACTAACTATGACCACAAAAACTAATTTCAGAACTGCTATTACTGTTTACTCTATTAAATTAAAGCTGGATATTCAAAAAGATCTACTTTAACACTCAATTTCCATGCATAGAGAGAGTGTGTTTTTAACATTAGAAACATTTCAGAAGTCATGCCTGAATGACTAAAACATTCAGTAAATGAAAAAACTGCTGACAGGCCATAGATGATAGCTTGAGGAATCTGATATTCCCCTAATCGTGTTCCTAAAACATTAGGATGAAACATTTCACTTGCACTAAATGAAGTAAACATAATGCACAGCCATTCGAAGACTCATAGTTTAAAATTTTTTTGGAATAAAACCTCATATTTCTGAAGTTCCTCTTTGGCGTCAGTGTACACAATGTCTGATGAATTGGGTTCAGCAGCAGAGCGCTCAGCCACGTTCAGCCAGACCTCGAAGGAAGAGTAATCCTCCTGAAATTTACACCACAGTCGCCACGTCTCCTCAATCCTGCAAACAGACACGAGTGATTAAAAACAAAGTGTCTTTTATATAAATTTATATTTACATAAATCATAACAATATCATTTAATACTCAATGTGCATGTGTGGGCACTTACTTTTAAATATTTTCATTCATAATATTTATTGTAATTCATGTTATGCTTATTTACCAAATATATGACATTTTCTCAAAACCCATAGTCTGTTCGACTCAAGTGTTTGGTGACGTTACAGGGCATTAAAAATGAAGACATTTTATCATGCAAAGTGAATTTTCACGGATATCCCTTGCTCAGCAGGGAGCTGCGAATTGGAAAACAGTTTCTTAATTTGGATCCAGAGTGAACTGAATCTTCCTTCCCATAAAGGGATGCAACCGAATGACTAAACATCTGTGAGCATTGATGGAGTGTTTGAGATTGGACTCATCTGGATAAATGGCCATACCTCAGCCTCCTCTCCAGAGACGTGGAGCAGATATTTCTCCAGCGCTGGTCCAAGCGCTGCGTGGTCTGCTGGATGGAGTCATTCTCTCCATCACTGCTGCAGGCATCCTCATTGTGCAGAAGCACGTCACACAGGGTGAGAGCAGATGCCACCCTTTCAGTGTGCTGCTCGATGTCATGTTGCAGGTCCTAAACACGCGCATACATACAGTGGGGAAAAAAAGTATTTAGTCAGCCACCAATTGTGCAAGTTCTCCCACTTAAAAAGATGAGAGAGGCCTGTAATTTTCATCATAGGTATACCTCAACTATGAGAGACAAAATGAGAAAAAAAAATCCAGAAAATCACATTGTAGGATTTTTAAAGAATTTATTTGCAAATTAAGGTGGAAAATAAGTATTTGGTCAATAACAAAATTTCATCTCAATACTTTGTTATATACACTTTGTTGGCAATGACAGAGGTCAAACATTTTCTGTAAGTCTTCACAAGGTTTTCACACACGGTTGCTGGTATTTTGGCCCATTCCTCAAGAGCAGTAATGTTTTGGGGCTGTCGCTGGGCAACACAGATTTTCAACCCCCTCCAAAGATTTTCTATGGGGTTGAGATCTGGAGACTGGCTAGGCCACTCCAGGACCTTGAAATGCTTCTTACGAAGCCACTCCTTCGTTGCCCGGGCGGTGTGTTTGGGATCATTGTCATGCTGAAAGACCCAGCCACATTTCATCTTCAATGCCCTTGCTGATGGAAGGAGGTTTTCACTCAAAATCTCACGATACATGGCCCCATTCATTCTTTCGTTTACACGGATCAGTCGTCCTGGTCCCTTTGCAGAAAAACAGCCCCAAAGCATGATGTTTCCACCCCCATGCTTCACAGTAGGTATGGTGTTCTTTGGATGCAACTCAGCATTCTTTCTCCTCCAAACACGACAAGTTGAGTTTTTACCAAAAAGTTATATTTTGGTTTCATCTGACCATATGACATTCTCCCAATCCTCTTCTGGATCATCCAAATGCTCTCCAGCAAACTTCAGACGGGCCTGGACATGTACTGGCTTAAGCAGGGGGACACATCTGGCACTGCAGGATTTGAGTCCCTGGCAGCGCAGTGTGTTACTGATGTAGCCTTTGTTACTTTGGTCCCAGCTCTCTGCAGGTCATTCACTAGGTCCCCCCGTGTGGTTCTGGGATTTTTGCTCACAGTTCTTGTGATCATTTTGACCCCACAGGGTGAGATCTTGCGTGGAGCCCCAGATCAAGGGAGATTATCAGTGGTCTTGTATGTCTTCCATTTTCTAATAAGTGCTCCCACAGTTGATTTCTTCACACCAAGCTGCTTACCTATTGCAGATTCAGTCTTCCCAGCCTAGTGCAGGTCTACAATTTTGTTTCTGGTGTCCTTTGACAGCTCTTTGGTCTTGGCCATGGTGGAGTTTGGAGTGTGACTGTTTGAGGTTGTGGACAGGTGTCTTTTATACTGACAACGAGTTCAAACAGATGCCATTAATACAGGTAACCAGTGGAGGACAGAGGAGCCTCTTAAAGAAGAAGTTACAGGTCTGTGAGAGCCAGAAATCTTGCTTGTTTGTAGGTGACCAAATACTTATTTTACCGAGGAATTTACCAATAAATTCTTTAAAAATCCTACAATGTGATTTTCTGGATTTTTTTTCTCATTTTGTCTCTCATAGTTGAGGTATACCTATGATGAAAATTACAGGCCTCTCGCATCTTTTTAAGTGGGAGAACTTGAAGTGTCAGTACCTGACTGTTTGTCTGCAGTGTTGAGGGCAGTGAGGCCTTGTTCCTCCTGCTGTTCCTCATCATCCAGGATCATAGAAACCTTCTTCACACTCTTAATGCTGCCGCTGCACTCAGACATCAGCTGGACCTGTACATTGCAAAGACACATCATACACGCACCATTACAGTTACTTTTAATACAGGAACTACACATGCACTGAATAAGACAACATGCAAATTTGGTGTTTATGTAAGAGCTGGATTAAGAAGGAAGGGGTATATACTCACGTAGTCTTGTTTAAAAGGAGTGCAGCTGTGTGTAGGTGAGGAGGAGTTCAGCTGGAAGGATTTCCCTTCAGGTGTATTTTGAAAGTGCCAATTCTGTCCTGTGAGTGTGTGAGAGTGGGAGAGAGAGATTTAACTCAGTGCTCAAAACAGGCTACTTTATTTGGGCTGTGATGACAGAAATGGATACAAGAAGTGGAATTATTTAGTTGCATGGATCGTGAAGAATCAAATTTTTCTTGATCTTTTGAAGTAATAGAGATTTATGTACTATGAAAAACATATACAGTGGGTATAGAAAAGAAACACCCCCTTTAAAATAATCACATTTTGTTGCTTTGCAGCCTGAAATGAAGATGGACACAGTTTTTGTTTTATCCAGCTGCATTTACTCAGTGCAACTTGTAACATCCAAGTGAAAGATATAACGCCAACATTTAAATACATTTTTTTATTGAATTTAATATTACTTTTTAATGCAGACTTTAAATTGATAAAGTCTGTTATTGCAGGATAAGGAAGTTGGAACTATATTTAATCCAACAGTAAATCGACAGCCTGTGCCTTAGTGGACCAAAGCTGTGATACTCATTTCACATGCTGCTTTTAAAGGCAGAGGAGCAAAACCAGGCCATTTAATTCTAAGGATAAGAGAGAGCATCAAAAATGGTCATGAAAATATAAAATACTAATGTTATTGGCATAAAAACCATTATGAGTGGATTTCAGGCAAAAAAAGACCCCTTTAAAAACAAAAGCATCAAACATGTCATGTATCCTTCTCCAGTACTGAGCAAAGCTTCAAGAGTGTGAGGTTTAGATAAATGAATGTTATTATCTTTTACATGAGCATGAAAGCTCTGGAGGAGGATGAGCAGGTGCACTGAGCCGTGTGAGAGGAGGGGACGCAACCTTCCTGTGCCCTCTCTTATACTCCCTGAAATCTGGACACGCCGGCTCTCAACCCTCCTCTTTACAAACAGAATCTCCCCACAGGCCCAAGTCTTTCATGATAAGAGCACATAGCAGGACAGGGTGAAGGGAGGATGCTTGCATCTTTTGATTTAAGAGAGAGAAAGTTCTGCACTGAAAGGAAAAATACCAGTCCTTTGATGATCCAGCAAACCAAGTCTATTCATAAGCGTATCGATAGTGATGTGGGAACAGGACAGGATGGAGAGAGAGAATAATGTGGAAAGAGAGTAAGGAGTAGCGGGGAGGTGTGGGACTGTACAGATGTGGATACACCAAAAAAAAATAAAAAAATTTTGCATTCATGAAAACTGAAGCCAAGTGCACGTAAAGGGATATGGAGGCCTACCTAAAGGCTCTCCCAAAGACTTCTTTGTCACCTCAGATGTGAATTCTGGGATTTCGGTGACCTCTGGAGGGAGAGAAAATGAATGGCTAAATCAGCAGTATGACAACCCATTCCAGCATTCAGAGTTCTGGAAAAAGGCTCAGCCACAGACGACGTGCCAATGGACATAACACTGGCTAGAGCTTGTAAAAATTGTCAGTTGCAATCTGATAATGAAAAATATATTTCAATTTTATCGGACTCCAGATTTAGGCACATGAAAAAAAAAAATCATGTGATTACCAGAAAAAAAAATCAGACAGCTTTTTTTTTTGTTGAAATTGGCGATTCATGGCTTGAACACCTTGCTCAATAAAGTCTGGTTACAAAAAGGTGTTTGGTTACACTTTATTTCGATAGTCCACTTTAGACATTCTACTAACTATAAGTAACTTTGTAACTACACGTCAACTAATTCTCATTAATTTGCAACTATATGTCTACTAACTCTCAGTAGACTGTTAGGGTAGGTTTAGGGTTAGTAGAATAAGTTGACAAAGAAAGTGTTAGAAGATATTAAGCAGACAGTCTACTAATACTCTACTAACTGCTAGTTGATATGTAGTTGCAAAGTTACTTACTGTTAATAGAATGTCTAAAGTGGACTATCGAAATAAAGTGTTACCAGGTGTTTTCACATTAGTGAAATTTCGCGGATAAGAAGGGCCATTGTCTGCTGTTAACAGCGTAGTGATGCATGAAGTACAGCTCACACAGAAGTTACTTTCAAATCAAGCAGCTTTCTTTTGGTCAACATGGCGAATGTGACCAACTTGAACCCATTGCGAAATCTTCACACAAAATTCCCAAACACATGGATTCCTATTGAAATTTCGCTGAACAACAATAAATGTGACCACACTTTAAGACTGCTGAGAACCAGCGTCATCATCTGCAGTACACTGCACAGCTTGAGCAATTAAAACACTTCCATACTTATTTACCTGACAGGGCAGAGAAGAAGGCAGCATCCTCTTCCTCATCATGTGAAGAAGAGCCGCCAACGTCCCCGGTGTGGTCCCACTCCAGAGGGATGGAATCCACACTGACGGGGGTTTCACGGCCCGAGTGCTCCTGAGGTGGCAATAGCAGGCACATGGAGGGCTGGCTGGAGGAGGGGGTGGCCAGTGTCCCTCTGGACTGCTCACCATCAATGACGTCCAGCTGCTCCAAAGACAAAACACTTTAATTCATATCCATATAACATGGCCCATATGCAAAGTTATTTGGACAATTTTGCCACATTTGTCACTGTAAGTGTAATGAAATATACACTACCCTTACCAATTTAAAAAATACCTGTGATGAGTGATGACAAAGTTGAATTTTCAGCCGCCATTACTTACTTACTGACCCCAAACATTTGAATGGTAATGTAGCACAAACACACTTTTCAAGGAAGCTAATTCACAAAAAGACATTAGATAGGTTCCAAACGCTCTCAAATTGTCCAAATACATTAAGGGCCACAGTATGGTATACGAGAGAATGCAATGAAAAGTGAGCGTATATAATACCGGGCGGAGACTGGTGAGGCGCTGGTGGAATCGGGCCACCCTGCCGAACACCTCTTGACAGTATGTGTGCAGTTCCTCTAACTCATCTTCTATCACAACAGCATCTTGAGGACAGCTCCTCTGAATCAGACCCTCCCCAAAAACGATCAGAGCATCAATCTTATTGGTGTTCAGAGTGATCTCTTTCTTAAAACTCTGGAGGGGAAGAATAAGAAAGTTCAGTTAAATTTAACGCTATCTGTCTATAGACTGACTGAACGACTGAATTTGAAGGAAACGCTTGTTTATTAACCTTCAGCTGTTTCATCTTGTCTTGGAGATGGCTCTCTGAGAAGTTCTCTACATTGGTCAGCTGGAGGTCTATCTCATTCAGCCAGACGAGGAGGCTCTCGCGGGTTCCCTCAAACTCTTCTCTCTGACTTGTGAAATGCTAAATGAGAAAAAAAAGGGAGGAAAAAGAAAATGTGTTGGGAAATGTGTACTCAAGTAAACATAAATGCATAGATGACAAAAAAAAGTAGTGTGTCGGTGTCCTCACCCGGAGTCTGCGTAGTATTGCAGCCACTCTCCTCTGGAGCGCATCCCAGCGCTGGTTCCCCTGATGCACCATGGCCCTGAGTCTGCTGGCTGCATCGGTCCGATTCTCCCGCGCTAGTCGTCTGTACTGGTTATTAATAATTTCCAGCTGGGTCAGACTCTCATGCACTTGCCTTTGGAAAACCTAAAACAACAAATCAAACACTACTAACTATGACCACAAAAACTAATTTCAGAACTGCTATTACTGTTTTCTCTATTAAATTAAAGCTGGATATTCAAAAATATCTACTTTAACACTCAATTTCCATGCATAGAGAGAGTGTGTTTTTAACATTAGAAACATTTCAGAAGTCATGCCTGAATGACTAAAACATTCAGTAAATGAAAAAACTGCTGACAGGCCATAGATGATAGCTTGAGGAATCTGATATTCCCCTAATCGTGTTCCTAAAACATTAGGATGAAACATTTCACTTGCACTAAATGAAGTAAACATAATGCACAGCCATTCGAAGACTCATAGTTTAAAATTTTTTTGGAATAAAACCTCATATTTCTGAAGTTCCTCTTTGGCATCAGTGTACACAATGTCTGATGAATTGGGTTCAGCAGCAGAGCGCTCAGCCACGTTCAGCCAGACCTCGAAGGAAGAGTAATCCTCCTGAAATTTACACCACAGTCGCCACGTCTCCTCAATCCTGCAAACAGACACGAGTGATTAAAAACAAAGTGTCTTTTATATAAATTTATATTTACATAAATCATAACAATATCATTTAATACTCAATGTGCATGTGTGGGCACTTACTTTTAAATATTTTCATTCATAATATTTATTGTAATTCATGTTATGCTTATTTACCAAATATATGACATTTTCTCAAAACCCATAGTCTGTTCGACTCAAGTGTTTGGTGACGTTACAGGGCATTAAAAATGAAGACATTTTATCATGCAAAGTGAATTTTCACGGATATCCCTTGCTCAGCAGGGAGCTGCGAATTGGAAAACAGTTTCTTAATTTGGATCCAGAGTGAACTGAATCTTCCTTCCCATAAAGGGATGCAACCGAATGACTAAACATCTGTGAGCATTGATGGAGTGTTTGAGATTGGACTCATCTGGATAAATGGCCATACCTCAGCCTCCTCTCCAGAGACGTGGAGCAGATATTTCTCCAGCGCTGGTCCAAGCGCTGCGTGGTCTGCTGGATGGAGTCATTCTCTCCATCACTGCTGCAGGCATCCTCATTGTGCAGAAGCACGTCACACAGGGTGAGAGCAGATGCCACCCTTTCAGTGTGCTGCTCGATGTCATGTTGCAGGTCCTAAACACGCGCATACATACAGTGGGGAAAAAAAGTATTTAGTCAGCCACCAATTGTGCAAGTTCTCCCACTTAAAAAGATGAGAGAGGCCTGTAATTTTCATCATAGGTATACCTCAACTATGAGAGACAAAATGAGAAAAAAAAATCCAGAAAATCACATTGTAGGATTTTTAAAGAATTTATTTGCAAATTATGGTGGAAAACAAGTATTTGGTCAATAACAAAATTTCATCTCAATACTTTGTTATATACACTTTGTTGGCAATGACAGAGGTCAAACATTTTCTGTAAGTCTTCACAAGGTTTTCACACACGGTTGCTGGTATTTTGGCCCATTCCTCAAGAGCAGTAATGTTTTGGGGCTGTCGCTGGGCAACACGGATTTTCAACCCCCTCCAAAGATTTTCTATGGGGTTGAGATCTGGAGACTGGCTAGGCCACTCCAGGACCTTGAAATGCTTCTTACGAAGCCACTCCTTCGTTGCCCGGGCGGTGTGTTTGGGATCATTGTCATGCTGAAAGACCCAGCCACATTTCATCTTCAATGCCCTTGCTGATGGAAGGAGGTTTTCACTCAAAATCTCACGATACATGGCCCCATTCATTCTTTCGTTTACACGGATCAGTCGTCCTGGTCCCTTTGCAGAAAAACAGCCCCAAAGCATGATGTTTCCACCCCCATGCTTCACAGTAGGTATGGTGTTCTTTGGATGCAACTCAGCATTCTTTCTCCTCCAAACACGACAAGTTGAGTTTTTACCAAAAAGTTATATTTTGGTTTCATCTGACCATATGACATTCTCCCAATCCTCTTCTGGATCATCCAAATGCTCTCCAGCAAACTTCAGACGGGCCTGCATTGAAGATTAAATGTGGCTGGGTCTTTCAGCATGACAGTGATCCCAAACACACCGCCCGGGCAACGAAGGAGTGGCTTCGTAAGAAGCATTTCAAGGTCCTGGAGTGGCCTAGCCAGTCTCCAGACCTCAACCCCATAGAAAATCTTTGGAGGGAGTTGAAAATCCGTGTTACCCAGCGACAGCCCCAAAACATTACTGCTCTAGAGGAGATCTGCATGGAGGAATGGGCCAAAATACCAGCAACAGTGTGTGAAAACCTTGTGAAGACTTACAGAAAACGTTTGACCTCTGTCATTGCCAACAAAGGGTATATAACAAAGTATTGAGATGAAATTTTGTTATTGACCAAATACTTATTTTCCACCATAATTTGCAAATAAATTCTTAAAAAATCCTACAATGTGATTTTCTGGATTTTTTTTCTCATTTTGTCTCTCATAGTTGAGGTATACCTATGATGAAAATTACAGGCCTCTCTCATCTTTTTAAGTGGGAGAACTTGCACAATTGGTGGCTGACTAAATACTTTTTTGCCCCACTGTATGTTAAAGGTCATTCCTGTCACTTTATCAAACAGATGAAAGATAAGCCTAACTTCAACCAGCTTTGTATTGTTATAATGTCGGTAGTATATGGAATTTTTTTTGTTAAAACCACACATCAAACTTCCACATTTTTTGTAATTCTGCCAATGGACAGTCAGACTGACAGAGAGGTGGTACCCAAATCAGAAGTGCATTATGAGTGTTGAAGTTTTTGGCAAAAGGGAATGCCATAGCCCTTTTTCTGATTTTAGAAATGTTTTCACGTTTACACTGCATAGACAGTCATGTTTTATTGGAAGCTTATTTTGCCAGCAATTAATTAGCCCTTTAAAAAGTCTGTATATCATGAAAAAGAGTAATCGGAAATAATTAATTTCAATGAAAGACAATTAAATTAACCAAATATTATTAATAAATGAATCCAAATTTTGATTTTAAAAATCATAGCAAAAATATCATAACATCCCTCAAACTAGACAAATTCACCTGATTAGGAAAAAAAAGCATTATTTTATATCATATTAAGGCTTCTTTTCAGACAATCTATCTGGAATAAGTTGTTGCATCGGCAAGATTTCTCACCTGTTTATGCATTTATAAAAAAATTAACAAAAATCTGCCAGTCCCACAAGACAAAATACACCTATACTAATTTACAATCTGGTATTTCAGCTGATTGAATATTCAATTATATCCTTTTTATAAACTCTTGATTTGCTGACCTGTTGCTCAGTCAGTCTCTTTTGGATCTCATCTCTATGGCAGATACTGTAGTGAATGGGTTTGGCCAGCTCAGCTTCAATGCCAGTGAGCCAAGAGCGAAGGTTATTCATGTTCTTATCCAACTGCTGCACTGTCACCAGGGTTTCTGTAAGCTTTTTCACCCTGAAAGAGAGAGAGATTACATATTCATTTTGAATCCAGAGCATTATCATAAAGACCATTTTGGAAAAAAACTTGTGATACCATAAATTATCATGGATGTTTTGATTAAAACCTGAATGTGACCAAAAGTCCTCTATAATCTCCACTAGATATAATCCAAATTTTGATTTTAAAAATCATAGCAAAAATATCATAACATCCCTCAAACTAGACAAATTCACCTGATTAGGAAAAAAAAGCATATTAAGGCTTCTTTTCAGACAATCTATCTGGAATAAGTTGTTGCATCGGCAAGATTTCTCACCTGTTTATGCATTTATAAAAAAATTAACAAAAATCTGCCAGTCCCACAAGACAAAATACACCTATACTAATTTACAATCTGGTATTTCAGCTGATTGAATATTCAATTATATCCTTTTTATAAACTCTTGATTTGCTGACCTGTTGCTCAGTCAGTCTCTTTTGGATCTCATCTCTATGGCAGATACTGTAGTGAATGGGTTTGGCCAGCTCAGCTTCAATGCCAGTGAGCCAAGAGCGAAGGTTATTCATGTTCTTATCCAACTGCTGCACTGTCACCAGGGTTTCTGTAAGCTTTTTCACCCTGAAAGAGAGAGAGATTACATATTCATTTTGAATCCAGAGCATTATCATAAAGACCATTTTGGAAAAAAACTTGTGATACCATAAATTATCATGGATGTTTTGATTAAAACCTGAATGTGACCAAAAGTCCTCTATAATCTCCACTAGATACAATGCCATTTTTTTTAATGAAAAAGACTAACCCCTTTATTAATCATTCAAGTAACTGTTTTCTTTGGTATCTGAGACTGTGTAGTTTGACAGGAACCCAATGAAATCAAAGATCAGCGTGCTACGCTTGCCGTGAAACACACACACACAAAAAAAAAGGTCTGATAACCCCAGGTCAGATGAAACAAACACAGACAAAGGGTGTTTGTCCCATAGGGATTAGATTGAACCATTTAAGTGTGACAGTGTGAAGCTTCTCGTTACGTTGTTCGAGTGACCGCATGTCCTCGCAAACCGTCTGAGCAGCCATACCTGCAGATGGCCGGCTGCGTGATTATAGCGTGCCTGAGTACACACTGTCCCCCTGGCCCCATTGTGCCCCGTTCATAAAAGATAATATGAGGTGACAGACCATTGCCCCCCCCCCCCCCCCCCCCCCCCCCCCCCCC